TTGACTTCTGTTGTGAAGTGCATGGTTTTCCTAATTTTTCTCTGGGTGTGTTTGTTATTAGTTTACAGAAAAGCTACTGAGTTTTTTTCTTTTATGTATTTGGTGTAGGGTCTCACTGTGTAGCTCAGACTTATAGTGATCCTCTTGTTTTCAGCCTCCCCAGCACTGGGTTACATCAAGTGCCACCACACCTGGACTTAGTTGCCAGCGCGGCATGTCCCAGAGGCAGGGCCAGAGTGGCGTGAGGGACTGGGGATCCAACTCTGGAACCAAAGCTACTGTTGTTGGAGTGTTGATGCTGTATACTGATTAGCTACTGAACCTTTTAATTAAATCTCCAATTATTTTGTTGGAATTTCAGTAGTCTTCTATGAAATGTATTATGTCATCTTCCAATAATGATAATGTACTTTACTTTCCAATCTATTCATTTTATTTTCTCTCTTGTCTAATTTCACTTGCTAATGTTTCCAGAAGTATAATGAATAGGATTGTTAACACAGGAAATCCTTGTCTTATACCTGATTTTAAATTGAAAATTATCAGTTGGTGTTCATTTAATATGATGTTGGCTGTTAGTTTCTCTTGGATGGCTTTTATCATACTGAGGTAAAGACCATCTATTCTGATTTTCTGGATGGTTTTTATCATGGATGAGTGTTAGTCTTTGTCAAAATCTATATCTGCATCTTTTGAGATGATCATGTGATATTTGTCTTTAGCTCTGTTCATGTGGTGTATTACATTTATTGATTTTCATATGTTGAACCATCCCTGCATTCCTGGAATGAATCCTACTTGGTCATGGTGCATATTCTTCTTGATGATTTGATGAATTGTATTTGCTAGAATTTTGCAGAGATTTTTGGCATCCGTGTTCATTAGGGAGACTGGCCTATGATTTCCTCTTTTTGGTTAGACACTGCTCTTGTTTTGGTATCAGGGTAATACTTGCTTCCAGGCATACATTTTGAAGAACTGATTCTCTTTCAAATTCACTAAAGAGTTTGAGAAGAATTGGTATTAATTTTTCTCCTAATTTCTTGGAGAATTCAGCTTTTATTCATTAGAAACTGGCTTTTTTCTTTGTGGCTAAGTTTGTAATTATGTTTTTGATTTCCTTGACTGACATTAGCTACTCAGAATTTTTACAATAAGCTTTGTTAATTCATATTTGTCTAGGAATCTGTATCTTTCTTCTGTGTTTGTCATCATGTAACAGTAAAAACTTTGAAATATGTATTCATGGTCTGAATTTCTATACTGTCTGTGATGATTTTGCCCTTTCATTCTTTATTGAATGAGTTTGAGTTTTTTCATCCCTTGTTTTGATAATATTTGTAAGGAGTTGTTGTTTTATTTATTCTTTCACAGAATTAATTCTTTAATTCTTTGTATTGTTTTCTTAGTTTCATTGCATTAATTTGTGTTGCCATGTTTATAATTTCCTGCATTCTTTGGGCTTTATTTTTAACTTGTTCTTTTTTTATTCTAGAAACTTCAGGTGCAGCATAAGGCTGTTGATTAAAGCCCATTCTGTTTTCCTAATGTAAGAATTCACTGCTATAGAAGTTCTCTTAGCACAGCTTTTATTGTGTTGCAATGCTCCAGTAAATTGTATCTGCATTTTTGTTTGATTGTAATTTTTTTTTAATTTCTGCCTTAATTTCATCTGTGACTCATTGATTGTTCAGGAGAGTGGTGTTTAATTTCCATGTGTGTAATAGAGGTTTTGCTATTTCTTTAGTCAATAATTCCAGTTTCATTGCACTATGGTCAGGTTATATGCACTGAATAACATTAATTCCTTTCCATTTACTTAAGCATGTTGTATGTACTAGGATATTTTCTCTTTTGGAAAATGTCCCATGGATCTTTGAGAATTATATGTATTTGGATTTGGGGTGGAACACTTGTGTAAGTGTACTAATTTCATTTCTTCACAAGTTTAGTTCTGTTATTTTTGTGCTTGCAGAAACAGACTGTTTAGTGCCTGGAGAATGTGTTGTGGGCGAATGATGCCAGAACCTCAGGAAGAGTATCAACCATTTCAGCCTTTCATCTGGACAAACACACAGTGTACAGACAGGAAAACACAAAGTGAGAAACCAGCTGTTAAAAATTATTTTTTGTTCATTCATAAATTTTCTACTTTAAAATTTATAGAACAAATGTATTATTTTTTTTCTGTATTTAGAACAGGGTCTACAGGGCCTGACTGCACAGATCAAACTAATAATGATTCTGCTGTTTTCAGCCTCCCAACTGAATCACCATGCCTAGTCTGAATTGCCATCTCAGCTCGCCGTACAGGTGTCGCTGGCAAGGCACACCAGGGATCGAACCCCAGCTGCTGTGCTCAGCCTAAGCAGGTTCTTTAGTCTGCTGAGCTATCAGGCAGGCCCTTAAAAATGTATTTTGAAGCAAAACATTTTAGCATTTCATTCAAAGAAATTTGAAATTTGTACCTTAAAATAATTTTAGTACTTTAATCACCCAGCAACGATACTTCATCAATTATACTTTTAGGAAATGAGTTTAACAGGTCTACGTGAGTTGAATTTTTTCAGCCATATGGATTTTTTTTTGTCAGCTCAGCTAGCTTTCAGGGCAGGCCTTGAGAGGCATGTGGTGCTGAGGATCAAACTGTAGTCCCCTCTGTCTGCCTAAGCTTGCCTAAACAGGCACTTTAGAACACTGAGCTATCTTGCCGGCCCTGGAAATATTTCAGTTTAGCAGTTGATGTTTTGAAAGTGAAATAAAACATCAAGTTGTCTTGGAGAAGACTCTTGTCACATACAGGTATGGCTCTAGGCTTCTGGAGACCAAGATTCCTGCTAGGATGTAGCAGTTTCACCAGGAAGGGAGAAATTTAAAGCAAACAAGATGTTAGTATTTTGTAAATTTCTAGCTTTGCAGCTATTATAGTTTGTGTCTAGTTATCCCTCCAAAGCCTCATGCAGTCATGGGTGGGCTTCCAGAGTTTGTAATTAAGTCATGATCCATGTGGATTATGGTTGTGAGTGCTGCTGGGATTATGGCTGGGTTAGATAGCTTGAATGCAATTTAAGAAAGACTTGCTCTCTGTGGTCATTGGTGCCACTATTCCGTCCTTTGTTCTCTGCACTTTGCCATCTCCATGCTCTCTGCCATGTGTCACTCTGCCTTGGAGCCAGCTGAGTATGAACTGAAACCTCCACTAACTGTGAGCTAAATAAACCTTTCCTTCCTTCATTTGGGGTGTTGGGTATTTCTTCCAGCAATGAAAGAAGAGTAACTGAGACAGCATCATTTGAAAATCTCTGTACGCAAAAGATGGAAAGCATCTTTATAGAGACACTTAGACAGCACCTAGGATTCCCCAAAGGAAAAAATGTGAATAGTCCTATTAAGTGGTTATTGTGGCATGTTGCAAACCAATAGACACAGAAACCAAAGGAAGAAACTTGGAATGCTTTATTGGCTGAGCTCAGCAGCAACACTCTCCTCAGAAACTGAAAAGAGTAAAGTGAACCATGAGGAAAAAATACAATTAGAGTTTATGCACAACATGTTGTGGAACAACTAAAAGACACTGAAACCAAAGGAAGAAATTTGGAGCACTTTATTAGCGGAGCTCAGCGGCAACACTGCTCAGACACTGACAAGAGTGAAGCCCCGAGCTGAGGTGAGGCACAGTTTTTAAAATAAAAAACAAGAGTAGGTTGAGGAGAAGGGGGATTGTTACACAGTCTATCATCACTCGTTGGGTCTTTGTCTCAGTACACGAGGTCACATTTCGCAAATCCTACAGGAATTTGTCCTTACTTGGCTTAGGCGTTGTTTTTGTTCTGGTAGTTGGAAAGATATCTGGTGAGAGTTTAACCCAGTTCTCAGCGTGCTGAGAAACATTTTCTTATCTGCATAAACAGTAACACTTTACAGTTAGGCATAAGTGGGAGTTTATAAAAGAGATCCTGGTTTTACAAAACAGAAGTTACAAAGCTTATTACAAAATGGAGTTGATTAAGCCAGCAATGACCATTCCCCACTGGTTTCTATAACTGAATCAAATCCTTGACTTGTTGGGGTCATATAATGGCAGTTGATCACATCCTTTTGTTATTTTGACAAAGAAGAGGTTTTTAACAAACTAAATATTAGCATATGTTTAAATCCTTCAAGTCTGATGCACTCGTGGCCCTTTGTGGTGATGTTCTTTTGGTTTATTTTGACATGAGGTCACCATTGTTAATCTCCTCAAACAGTAAGGAACATTAGTTAACAACAAAGTCTGAGTAGGTGGATTTTTCTAAAACTCTAGAACAGGCAATATCTCCCATATCCTCACTGGTTTTTGTGTCATCTCTTGAGCTGTCACATCAACCAGGTATGTCTTTTCTTTTAGCTTGAGGTCTGGGCCACAGTGGGGGATGTCCATCTCGCTCAAGTTATAAGTCACCTTCTCTTTAATTCTGTCTCCTTGCGGGCCTATCCCTGTCTCACTGCCTATACTATTTTTGTCTAACTCAGGCTGCCTACAACACTTCCCCTCTGAAGAAGTAACCCAAACTGCCACGAGGGAATCATGGGTGATGGCCACTCTAACTTCTTTAGGCTGAAAGGGTTTGTAGTTGTTGAACGGCAGTCAGAGATACTCTCCAGAGGTTCTACCTAAAGGTCCTTAAGAGACACCAGGCATTTTTTTCTTGGGTAGGTGGAACAGTTTTAAATGGGAAGTAGGCAAAGTCAAAGAAACAATTAAACAATAACATCAACAGGATACAGTAATCACTTAGCAGACCTGGAAAGCAATAACCTTTTAAAGTTTGTAATTATACAAAAACTAGTCAGAACATATTGTAGGTCAATTGTCAGAGATCTCTTAAATGTGAGGTTTAATCTCTATTTTTTTTTTTATCTTCCATGGCCATTGGATACTGAGGCACATTAACTGCCAGACCTATGGAAAACACAGTACTCGCCGGTTGCCAAGTGGGGCTATTGACTGGGTAACTGACAAATCTGCATGAGCATCTATTAAAAGTTTAACAGGCTTTCTCCTTACATTGACGGTTAACATGGGTTCCCTCAGGTTGAGCGAGGAAGATCCATGACCACCTCAATCTGAAACTTCCTCTGACTCCATCACGAACATTTTTTTTTCCTTCTCTAGCAGCTTGGACATCTCTGCTTGAAATGTCCCTTCTCTCTGTCTGGATCGAGGGAAGGATAACTTTTTCCCATTTCCTGACTGGCCTTCTTTTCCGTCGGCTGCTAGTATCACTGTTTTTATTTTCCATCTATAATTCCATTCTGTATCTTTTCTGCTATGAAACACCTCAATTCAGACAATTCATGCCTGAAAACCCTTTTAACTTCTACAGCTTGTTTCAGATATCTGGGGTACACTGAGCAACATATAACTTCTGGGTTGTATATTTTACTTGCACGTTTACATAGGTTTTGGTTTCTCTAGGAAAGAACAAATTTTCTGAGAAATTAGAGCACATATAACCAAAACATGAACATTTGAGCTCATGAGTACATTTATAAAACTTTTTTTTTTGAGACATAGCAATCATAACCTACTAGTTCTTAGATTCCTGTATTTATGGAGTCTGACAATTTGCTCTAACCCCCTCTAGCTTTAGTTAAGAGAGGTCACACATGTATTTAGTATCAACATGAAATACCTACATTATATCAGAAATCAACCAGATGAACATACACTTTTCATAATTCAGTCAGATTAAACCGAGAAATACCGTTTAAACCTTGTACATGAACAACAACATATATTACATTTGTAAAAACTAGTGAGCATAATTTTGATTAGTTAGCAACCTGAATATATTGCAGTATCTCAGTTATAGCTGAAGCAAAATCTTTTCCAAACTCTGTTTCTATTGAAGTGGATGACTGGAAGGAAGGTCAGGGTTGAAGAAGGACAGAGACCTGTCCCAATATACAGCAATAGGCTGTTTTTTTTCTTTGCTTTAGTCATGATTACTCAGGGCTCCTCTGTGGAGATTGCAGGTAGAGATAACAGTCTGGCCAGAGGGAGAAGGCAGGACCAGCACCCTTCAGTCCTACTGGACCACCTGGGAAGCTGAGGCTGAGCTCTGGGACTTCCACCTCAGAGTGCAGTCTCACTTCTAGTGGCTGCCTTGGCAGTCAGGGCCTCTCAAGGCAGTGCCTCTTATGCTGGCCTGGCTTCTGACAGCAGTAGCAGGTGAGCATCATTGCTGTTGAGATCTTGGAGCCAGGAGAATCAGACTCAGTGTCTGTTTTGAGGCTGTAACAAAGGCAGACAGTTTTGATCTCTTTGCTTTCTCTCCCTGGTTTTTTCCCAGTTCCTATTATAGGAAATTGTTTCCTTAGTGTCCTATAAAGTATCAAGTGAGTTGTCTGGAGCAAAAGCTTTTCTTATAGCTCTTTTTAATATCTGGAGAGGACTGAGTAACGAACTTATCTGTAAGAGGAATCTGTTCCTCTACTGAATTAACATCTCAGGAAGTATGCTTTATCAGTGCCTCTATTAAACATTACAAGAAATCAGAGCGGTGTTTATTTTTTTCCTCGTAAATAGCTGAAACTTAGTAACTAAAGGTTTGGTTTTAGTTCTTTTTAAACCTTCAAGAATAAACACTAGAAAATATTTTTTATTACAATCTCCTGCCTGGCTATTAGGCCAGCATGAGTCTGACTGCTTGGGCTCAAGTAGAAGCAGATAGTTCCTGCTATAGCTAAACCAAGATAAACTGGCTGTCTATCTTCCAGTTGTTTAAAATTAGCAATATGATATTTATCTCAAATTCCAACATCAGCTTGTAATGTTGCCTGCCTTTTCATAGAAGTCAAAGCTTGGTTTCAAATTAACATTACATCTTTTAAACCTAGTTTATAAGTCTGAATATCCTCTAGGTACATCAATGTACTTATCAGGGTCATCTAAAGATTTTTTAAGATCTGACTGTACCTGTTTTGGGTCACAGAGAAAAAGGCACATAATCTCTGGAAGTTCTAAACTGTATTATCATAAAACTTACTTTCAGTAATGGTGGGTGAGGCCATGACTAAAGCTATCTTATCTAAATGTCTCCAAAGGTCAGGAAGCAGCAGTTTTAGGCACCTGAACAGCCTGGTTCTCCTGTGGCTCACATCTACATTTCAAAACTAGGTGACAATGACTTTCTTAAGGGGAACAAAATCTGAACATAAGACAATTGATATGGTGACAGGAATGTGTTACAGAAGGAAACATAACCATTTCATGAAAAGGTCAATTTGATGTGAGCATTTTTTAGACTACAAAAGTCTCTTCAAGAGATAGATCAACAATTGGCTGGAGGATTTGACCCTGTGCACCGAGCCACGGCTTCAGACACTTGTGTTTTTCTATCTAATCACCTAGGTAAACAATTTCAGCAACTGGACAAGATTTAAACTTGAAGCTCATAGTTAATACTTACATTTATCATCTAGCAAACAAATTTTACATATGGGTAAAAATGCATTGCTTTATGACCGACAAAAATCTCTTTTTCCTCTTAATGTGTAACACACAGATATAAATTTTTTCTTGACAGTCGCTGCAGAATGTAAACTATTTCAAGCTGCCTCAGCCTAATTTCTGAAGGAGTGACTCATTAAGTTTTACTGAAAAGCTCAGGTAGAATTCCTAGTTTATTAGCAGAAAGAGAAGGAGAAAAGGTACAATAGGTCAGTGGAGATCTTTCAGTGTTCAAGTACGATTGCTGACCTACATGGCAAAAGCAGTCAAATGCTTTATAGGTACATATATTTCCTAAGCATTAATTAGATTTGAGAGTCCCATTTTTCAGAAATTTACATAAAATCCACTAGAAGGCTTACAAACATTATTTTCTCTATTGCTATTGTCTGAAGTCAAGGAAGGAATACCAGTACAGTTAACATTTAGTTCAAATGCAACATATACAAGTACAAAGCAGTCATAAAATGTACTATTAAAGAAATATAATGACCTTGTAACATTTTCAAGTTTTTTAATTTAGGTGTATGGACACATTTTGACCAACATTTTAACAACTGCATAATGAATTTATGTGTGTGCTGGGCGGCAGGCAGAATGAGTGGGTTCTTAGGGTGATGATCGGGGGTCATAGCCACTTTTTGTCAGTTGGAAGTGCCAGTGTGACCATGTGGAATTGGCTGGTCATCCAGGAATGGCGTCCGGAACAGTAAACCTTGAGCCATTCAGAGGTCATGGAGAAGATAAATCTAAGCCTGATTGTAAGGAATATGGTCAGGGTGTTCCAGATTTTTGAAGATAACTCTCTGGACCTGCTGAGAGACTGTAAGATTAAAAGTGCCTTCCAGAGGCCAGGAGACCCCAAAGGAGGGCCATTCAGGTTCACAAAAGGTATGGAGTTTTCCTGGATCAACCGGGTCTCCAAAGCCTTGGGCGCAAGTCCTGAAATCTTTAACGTGGTTAAGAATAAGTTGCAATGCTAACAAAGAAGAGGGAGAGGCTGACCTATTTTGACACAAAACATGTAGACTGAGACAAAGAAAGACCAAGATAAGAACAATGAACACAAGTCTGATATCCAGGAAAACTCCTGGTACAATTCTGAATACAAATACCAAGTCCCCAGCAGCGTCTTGGTAGGGAACTTCCAAGGAGGCTTAAGTCACGTCCAACACCCTCACAGGTACCAAACACAAAGAGTGCACCTAATCTAAAATCCAAATTCCAAATTATCTTGCATCACCATTGCAGTTGGACCAGTCCAGGTACCAGGTCTCTCAAGTAGCCAGTGGTTCTGAGATGTAGGGGTTCAGGGGTTGTTTCAGAGCCTAGAGTGTCCCATTAGAGGGATCCTAGAGGAGCCCCCTAATGTAGCATGCCACAAAACCAATGGATACTGATACTGAAGGAAGAAATTTGGAGCGCTTTATTAGTTGAGCTCAGAGGCAACGTTCTGCTCAGAAACTGACAAGAGTGAAGCCCAGAGCTGAGGTGAGGCACAGTTTTTAGGACAAAAAACCAGAAGAGTAGGGGGAGGAGAAGGGGATTATTACAGAGTCTATCATCACTGGTTGGGTCTTTGTACCAGTATACAAGGTCACATTTCACAAACCCTAGAGGAATATGTCCTTCTTAGGCTTACGCGTTGTTTTTGTTCTGGTAGTTGGAAGGACATCCAGTGAAAGTTTAATCCAGTTCTCCATATGCTGAGAAATATTTTCTTATCTGCACAAGCAGTAACATTTTGTGGTTAGGCATGGGTGGGACTTTAGAAAAGAGATCATGGTTTTATGAAATGGAAGTTACAAAGTTTGTTATGAAATGGAGCTGATCAAGCCTGTTTACAACAGTTATTTCTTGTTTTCGTTATGTTTCTCACTGTTGATACAAATTGCCCAAAGTACATGTGTAGGTGGAAGGGCATATTCAGCTCACAGTCTGTAGGAGTTTCAGACCACAGACAGCTGGCCCAGGACAGGGTGGCACATTGCAGAGGGGTAACTGTTAATGACACTACACGACAGCAAAGCAAGGAGTCTTAATAGAATCTTTCTGCCATTTTTATCTTGGTCCAGACTAGCAAAATTAGGGCATGCTGAACCAATCACTGGCCTGATACTGATCACACATCTTCATTCCCAGCATTTGATCAGTGCTACACCCTCTACACCGAGCCACCTCTGGAAAAAGTCCACCTTTGACCACCGAGGCTTCTGTGGGACATCTAAACACCACCCATAATGTATCCTGAGACCAATAGTATTAGAAACACCGTTGATTTTCATAGACAGATTTGCCTATTGTGGAGAACACTCTCGAATAGCACCATGAAGGTTGTGGTTCAGATACCTTCCAGTATTATAATGAACTCATTAAATAGTCCCCTAGGGGCCATAATATATGTTACAACACCCCTTTCATACTTCACTATTGCAAATTTGTATTGTAAAATAAAAGTAGCTGGCTGTGCATCTTAGTAGCTGTACCTGGGGGATACTGGAAGTAGTGATTTTACTATAACAATATTATAATGAATAACATGCAGGGAATTTTACATAAATTTGTCACTCTTTATTAGAGTGTGATCTATGAAAAGTGTATTTTATATGACATTGTCTGGACTATATATTAGCATCACTCAATATTCATAACATAACACATTTATCAATGCTGGCCCCCTCTTTCTGGATTGCATGCATATCTTGTCATATGGAGCTGGAGGATGACTAAGGAAAATCCCAGTGCTTGAGCCTAAATGTCCACCCTCAGAAATGACATTATCTCTGGAGTTGCTGATTTTAATTTTGAATATCTGAAGACCTATATACTTGAGAAACAATATTAAGTACAACACTAACAAAAACACTGTGTGTCCTAAACCAATTTGATGCTGCCCAAGGAGGCAGACCAGACTATATCTTTTCATGCACCAGTCTAGATGTCCCTATTAGTTATGTAGAACAACACATGTCCAGTATCAAGTTTAGAAATCAGCATCAAAACCTATGTCTGAAATCACCATTTAGACCACAGTTGGGACCTGGGGAGGGTGTTCAATTGTTCTGTGGTTAAATGTGACAGGCTACCAACAGACTGCCCAAGTAATCCTGCATGACAACACTATTGCAATACCTGCATAAAGGAGAAAGAAGTGAAAATTAATCCTGTCACTGTAGTATTGGAAATTGAAATGTACAAGGAAAGTCTTAAGTGCAGCAATTACATAAAACCGTCCACTCAAACTGGAGTGCAAAAAGTAAATTTATCAAGTTTTGTTTCTGAAGGACTAAATTTTGTTTTTTGTTTTTTTCTGCCTGGTCCCTGGTATTGAGTCTATAAATAATAGAAAGGAACTTTCTTGTTTACATTCAAATTGGATTTTAGAGATTGTAAAAGTGAGCATTTGATAAATGTAGTTATTTTTAAAATGTTAAATATTTTCTTTTACTTATTTGGTACAAGGTCTTGCTGTGCATCATGGAATCAGTGATCCTGCTAGCTCAGCATCCGCAATAGTGGGGTGATAGGCATGCGTTGCCATGCCTGGTTCTGGTGGCCAGCTCTGCCCACCATGGGTTCTGGTGTGGCATGGCATGCGGTACCAGGGTTCGAACCTTTGTCCAAGCACTTTCCAGGCAGGTGCTTAGACCACTGGGCTAAGAACAAGGAACAAGGAACTAACAATACAGCATCTGGAAGATGGTTCAAAACAAAATAATGGAAGACTAACAGATATCAAGGAAACACCTAGATTTAATACACACAACATGAAAGGACTGCTTGGAGAAATAATGGCTGGAAGTTACCCAAGCATAGGAGAAGAATCTAATATGCAGCTAATTGGGGCATGCAGAACTTCACCTAGCCATAATTAAAATTAAGGTACTCCCAGAGCCATAATAATAAAGATGCCAAATATTAAGTCAAAGAACAAAAGTTTAAAAGCTGTTAGAGAGAAGCAGGTTACCTATAATAGAAAGCCCATCAGAATTGTGGCAAATTTCTCAGTGCACAGAAGATGATGGAAAACTAAAGGTACAATGTCTCGCTGTGCTTCCTGGAATCATAGTGATCCTGCTATCTCAGCCTCCTCAACACTGGGATTATAGGCATGCACCACCATTCTTGGTTCTGGTGGCCAGCTCTGCCCATCCTGGGTTCTGATGTGGCATGGCATGAAGTACCAGGCTTCAGAACTTTGTCCAAGCACTTTCCAGGTAAGTGCTTAGACCACTTGGCTAAGAACATGGAACTAACTATATGAGATACATTGTAACAGACATAAAACATCAACAGAGCCAAAGACAAAAATCACATTATCCCCTCAGGACTTACCCTGAAACCCTGTTCTGCAGTCAGATACAAAAGTTATATTTCTTGATATATAGGTCTTGCTTTATCTTAGTCTTAACCATCCAGCAGAAAAGTATAAAAATGAGGTATAAAAAGTAAATCCATATTAATATACTGAGCTATAAGAGGCTCAAGTCAACAACTGCTGACATTGCCAGTCCTATGGATAATGCACTACTATTATGGATTACTGGACTATATTGGAATATTTTGCTGAATTCAAGCACCTATGATATTTAAATGGCAATAGAATGCCCATATCTGACAAAACTAAACAAAAAAGAGGATAGAAATGAAGAACCATTTTGTATGTGTATATACAAAATAGTTAGGATAGATGTACCACTTCTTTTTCTTAATTCAATGAGAATAAAGATTTGTCCTAATAGTATTTGGACAGGATATCCTGTCTGCATCTTGTACTATGAATAGCCACTAT